GAAACTGTACCGCGCTGCTCCAGGGCAGGCGTGATCTCGTAGATCCGAATCACCACAAAGAGCCACAAAAGAAACAGTTCACTTATTGGAATGAATAATGGATTTCAATTAATACATACAAAAACATTGATTAGTCACCCAGGCGTCTAACAGTTGCATGCTCGTGTTCCTGGCGTAGTACTGTTTCTATCTGGGCCGCATGACTTCTGATTGGTTAATGAAATCGGCCTGCAGTTCTTAGTCTAGTAGCTGTAACGCATAGGCGCTGTACTGGCATCACTGGCATCACAGTTGTCCGGAAACTGTAAGGTGTCGCTCCGAGGTTTGCGTCATCCCGTAAGCCAGGATCACCACAAAAACTTCCTCAATGGGAACATCAGTTTTGCAATTCTCCGAAGGTAACTTTTTACTGCACTGTTCTCCAGCCGAGCAGCACTGCGTTAACACCAATTATCATTGGGGTCTCTATCTGTTCCACGGGTTTTTCTAGCTCCAATCAGATCTACTTTGAGATTTGATCAGAGCGTTAGACCGTCCATCAGTTTAGCCAAACTTGGAAATTCAGCACCGATATCAATTCGAAGATAACCGATAGCGAGACTAATACCATCAGCAACTGGCAACACCGACGCACTGTTATACCGTTTGTTAATGTTGTATGGTGGTAGAATTGTATAGCTTACTGCTTCACCAGATATTCAACAATGATACAGCTCAGAAGTTTACTAGATGAGTCAAAATATTTTTCCATTTGGCCTGAGTGAATGTGTGTGCATCATGTGTAGCCCTGGTCTAAAAGTTAAAAACCACAGGCCAATAAGGGCTAGACCAAAATGACCAATATTATGCATGTAAAGTCCATGAGTAATTTCTTCAAAATGAAAATAAAGAAATAATAAAACCCCAGCATTTAGATTTCAGATACAGTGGATATTGTGAAGCCTCGGAACTTTCATTCGTCATTTCTCAAATCAATGTAAATCCAACCAGTTACCCATTTCCTTACTTCATGCATAGATATTTTTATNTATTACAATCTCTTAAATGAAGAACTGGAGAAGAGGTCATACAGTTACCCAGTGATAACTAGCAACCTGAGGGCGGCGGGCCACATAAAACCGCAATAGGATTGATGTGGAATCCAACAAACCTTTTCCCGCAAACAATTGTGACAGTCAATGTAACTAGAATTTCTGAATTGGAGCGGTTGATCATGGAAGCCAGAAAATCATTGAATTTCTGGTTAACTGGGCACACTGGTTTGCAATCTTTAGAGATTTTTCATCATTCCTGAAATAATGGTGAAACTAATTTAGTGGCCATTTACAGTCGAGGATCATCGTTAGAAAGATTATTAGCGGACCTTCTCTCTACCCTGGCAAAAGAAAGCGTACCGTTTCGACAGTCGCCAGATCTGACTGTATGGACATGAGCTGGCTGGTTAACGTTCTAAGTTGTTGTAGCTTCTCATAGGCCTGTGCCAATTCATGCGCTTCTTGCTTGAGTGAATTCATTGTTTGTAATTGGTGTTGTATTGCATCGGCCGTGTTCACAATAGTCCTCGCATCGGCATACTTTTCACTATACGGTTCTGCGAATGTTTTCAAAGACTGTGTGTACTCAGTGGCAGTGTTTACGTCCAATGGATCAGTTTTTAGCTGTTTGATGGTCTCCTAAAAGAAAGAACAGTGAAAACAACTGTCATTAGAGTAAATAGATCAAAACTATTCCATTACAGATTGAACTACAACCTCAGTTCATTCTTCCATTAAACAATGATTGAAAAAGAAGTGAAAACAACTGATAATGGGAAAAAATTGCACTCCTTAAGATACACAAAAATAGCTCAATCAATCAATCAATCAATCAATCAATCAATCAATCACCCAATTAAGCAACCAATCAATCAGTCATTCCGTTCTTTGTTGTATGCCGTCCTTATGTATTGTCGTCATTAGCAGGACTAACACAAACAGGCCAACTCAGAAGAATCACTTTTACACTTATTTGATAGAGACTACGCGCTTTTCGACAATCAAAGATTTCAATATGGATTAAAAAATAGTTTTCTTTTAGCTACTTATTTTTCTATAAATGTAAATACTTGACTTCCAATCTTCAAACGAACGTTGTCTGGTCTGAACTATCCAAAGTAGTCACAAATTTCAGAAATAAAAACTTCTCTCAGCGATACGTACTGTGTAATCTGCGCTGTCCAAATAATATGTAATGTTTTCTATGGTCGCAAACAATTCATCCAAGTGCTTCGGTAGGTAGGACGAGAAATTGACTGTGAGAATTTCCATTACTAACTGGCTGATGTGAGGCGGTTGAACGTCAGGTAAACAAGGCAGAGAGTCAGGGAGAGGGAGACAGAGAAATAACGGGAGTGATGAATTCGACAGCACATTGTATAACTCATAAAATATTGTAGAGGTGTAGTCATTATTATTGTTATTCAGACAAAGTGTTTAAATATGTGCGCATAAACATTTATCGCAACTCAACGTTTCCCTATCTGGCTCGTATTCTCACTGACACGGTGCGGATCTGTAACGAACTAATTTTAAACTTACAAAGATGAACACCTATTCAAGTTTTATCATTGTTGTATAATAAGTTTCATTTCATTTTTAACCCCACTCTAACGGTAAACACATTTCTGACTAAAATGTGGACACAGTCGCCTGCACAAATCATCTGTAATACAATTGTATCGCCTTGGTGTCTGATAGTGCACCCAATGTAACGTATGTGACTTAGTAATAAGTTAACTGCAAAACGAAATCTCTCTCTCTATCGTACGTGAAATATCCTTTTTCTTCTATCCATTTTATAGACGCAAGAAAACCGATGCGGGCAGAATTCATATTGGCTATCAACTTAGGGAAATAAAAATATCAGACATTAGAGGGTCTAAAAGTGATTATACAGTTTTCAGACATGCATTGGCGATAGAGGTAAGTGTTGAACTGAGACGAGATGTTAGGCGCGGATTAAGGAGAAAGTTTTCCTCAAGCATTCGAGAGAACTGAGATGCTCAAATACTTTTCTTTCAAAATTGTAATATAGGTTATCATCTAATTTTTGATTAAAATTTTAAGCTTAACGCTTCTGTTTAATCTCTAAGATTGACCTGTTAAATATATTGATACCCAATAATAACTAGATAAACGTTGAAGAAAAACACAGGGGCTTCATTTAATGTCCAATCCCTATTTACCAATGTACCAGTTTGTGAAGCCATAAAAATCATTTGCAATCATTTGCGAGAATGATTAAATCCGAGCGAATCTAACAGTGTCATCCCTTGAGCGTTGATTACTATTCTGCACAACCAATGTGTCCCTCGCTTTTCGGGGAAACGCGTACAGGCAAATTGATGGTGTTGCTATGGAAAGCTGGTTAGGTCCAGTCCTGGCAATCCTGTTTATGGCACATGTCAAACACAAGGCAAATTACTTTCCAGAACATGCCATCCTTTACAAAACATACGTCGACGACACCCTTGTGATAACAGAAAGCCTAGAACAAGCTATATTAATTTTGGATGAACTTAATAGATTACATCCAAATATTCCCTTCACAATGGAATTCGAAGCCAACAACACACTGAATGTCCTTGATATCAGCATGAGGAGAAAAAAAGACGGAACGATCACCCGATTCTTTTAACTAAAGGAGACCTGGACAGGCTAATATTTACACTTCGAGAGCTTTGTGACCCTGGAGTATAAACGTGGTCTTGTTCTGACGCTATTCAACAGAACGAGTCGGATTTGCACGGAAGATAAAATTGAACAAGAATTGCAAAACCATCGGGAGATGTTAGCAGAAAGCGCTTACCCCGAAGAGTTAGTCAATAAACAGCAAATCAAGAACTGTAAAAGAAACGATTACGTCAGCTTCGAAATTACGAGTCACGTTGTGCCTCCAATTCAAAGGTGATGACGTGAGCTGTTTGCTAAAAATACAACTGAGATCGACAATTGTTCAAATTTACTAAGTAGCTGACCACCAAATCGTCTATCGAACAACTATAGAATACCCGCACACCCGGTAAAAGAACGTCTGCTTCTGTACGCCAACTCTGATCTGATTTACCGATTCCAATGTGGGTGCGGAGCGATCTACGTGGGCAGAACAGAGCGACAACTACATAACCGGTGGTTGAACATATTTAAAATTGGCTCCAAAGTCAGATGACGCAATCTGGATAAATTCGGCGGTATAGAAACAACGGTCGAAAATACCACTCCGCCATCATCCGACATCTTCTGATGACGCAACACCAGATCGAGCGAAGCAGGGCGTTTCGGATTAACTACAAGTCACGAATCGCAAGGTTGCTAAGGTTTGCAAAATCGATTGCTATCAGCCGATGGAGTCCCCCCCCTGGTGTCAACAAAAAGAACTTCATGCTTGTTTATTCTTACCCTGGTGACAAAGTCCTTTTACCCCTCCCCCTTTTATGTTTATCTGTTTCATTGTATTTTGCTCTTCTTTGTTGCCGTGCTAAATTCCTATATAAATATTGTGTTTTCTACAGTATGCATCACGCTCATATGCAGCGAAATCGTCTTGGACATAAATCGTGTGATATTGCTATTTGGTCTTTTCTTCTAAACAGTTATTGGTTATTTCTTTATGAAAGTGGCTAGATGGAGCTAATTCCACAGTCACAATAACCCACGTTTCACGGATGAGGCAAGACAACCGAATTTGCGTTATTTGGATTGATGAATCACATGGAGCTCAAGCAAGTCATACGTGATGTTTAACAGGTCAATGACCCAATAGCTTTGGAATTCGAACCTCGAATATTTTGAGCTGGCGCACGGTTGCAATAGTAACCTGCACCACTGAATGATTGATGCACTCAATAAGCTGGCTTAGTTTCATTGAAAATACAGTAAATCATTTCGGCTGTTCACCGAGCCTGGTAGTTTGTTTGCAAAGGTTTCATCACCAGCAAGCTCGCCGAACAGGCTAAATGGAATTCAGTTCACCCGAGCTACGAGAACCAATTTCCAATATTTTGTCATTCAGTAAATCATTTCACTGATTTTGCATCATCGAAAAGCTGTCTGGACTAATGAGCAAGAATAGGACAGCAAATTTCACAGGTTACCAAGATAGATCCACTGCCAGAGAATTTCTTTCGTGGATTATCAGGTGGGTTGATTTAGTTCAATGCCAAGAGGTATTTGTAGTTGTTCATCAACTAACTGTTTTGCTTGGCGCTGCATTGAGGATTTGAATCAGTGCGTGTATGTCTTTACATCGGGGGCGGATCGTTCGGTTCGTCAGGCGTTTGTAAGTCCCGCCCATGGAAAACACGTCTGCTAGTGACTTCTCTTCTTTTCGTATTTGCGTATCGTCGTTTAAACTGTGTATCAAGTCAAATACTTCACCACTGGATTTGTTTGCGTTGTTCCCCTGGCCTCTTATTCTCTCATGAAGCCCATGGATATCCTACTGCGCATTCGTGTTAGTTCTGCTAAGCTTTGCGATCCCGAAGTGAGATCGTGTTAGAAAGTCATTAGACCAAACCTATTCCTTCTGGTGGCAGGTATAAACAATCTGACACTACAACGCAAATCGCCGGAAAAGAAGGATGTGACTTTCGCAGAGGCACGCAAGATCTGTGAACAACATAACAATAATCTGGTGCAAGTAATCTCCATCAACGCGGTCACTTTATTCCAACGGCACATACAAAAACCAGTCCGAGCCCTAGTGGACATACATACCTTAAAGCCACAACGTGACACTTCTGGTAACTTGAAAACTATCATGCTAGCTCAGATTCATTGTGCACAGAGGAAGCATAGAACCTATCGTTTCTACTTGGTAGCTCTAGCCTGTAATTGGTGACCGTCCCTCTCCCACACACTAACCTTATGATCGAATAGGAGACAAGTGATAATTAGTAGGGTTTTCAGTCGATGCTAATGTTGCGCTAATTTTTATATGAAATTTGCATGTGAGTTAATTCCATTGAGCCTGGGGTTCTCTTGAACTTTACCGCTAATAATGAATCAAATGTGATTGTCTATGCACAATGAAGGACACACTTGGCAGGATGCTTAACATTGGGAGATAACAAATGAAAATTATTTCACCCACAAGGCAAAACAGAATCTGAATTCATTTCCCATTTATGAAAAATTAGATTGTCTCAACTCTAACTCCTAGATTAGTTGCTGCAATTTTTCTACACCCGGCACAGATTTATCATTATTCACAAGGCCACTACCAACTGAGTGTCCTCATTGTCACACTCACTACTGATGAACGATAAGGATTGAAAAAGCAGAACCAGGTTATGAAAAGATGTGTTGATGAGGAGAAATGACACAACAAGGAAGAGAAACTATATGATGAGGTTGGTTACAAAAAATAGAGGCTTTTGATGTTAGGTGGTATTGGTATTGATATCTAGGTAGAATAGATAGAACCCGAAAATTACAGTTAACGTCTGAAATGGTTTTGATCTATTTTTCCTTTTCAGGGGAAATAGTGCTACATTTTTTGAAATCTGTGTCCGAGTTCCATTTTAAGGGGTTTTCCTATCCTACCTTTCAATGCGAATGATTTGTGAAAATCGTGTTTGGTTAGTAAAAAGCGGTGTTATTCAATGGATACTCGGCCTCAATGGAATTGACTCTCTAGGTCTATAATGGTCTGAGCTGAGCCCGTTTATAGAACCAGTCATGAATTTATGGGGTGGGGAGGGCCGGTTAAAGCTACAACAATTTCATTTGGAATTGAGTGTTGTTTATTGCGGGTATAGTATACTACTCATGAGTAGAACTAGTGTAAATGCTAAACAAAAGAGGATCATTCATATGGATCACTGATACCCTGAGACGCAAATAGAGACGAGAGATAGAACAGAAATAACTTACTCCTCACCATCATTGATGACGTTTTGAATGCTGGAAGATTCCAAAACAGCAGTCACATTGACGACGTTATTCAATCCAACCAAACTTAATAGTCCATCTGTGGTGTTCCCACCGGTCTCGGAAGTACTTGGGCAATAAATCGTTAACGCTTGAAACACATTTTGAGGTACTTGAAGGAGCACCAGTGATTCCACATCCGGACTCAGCTGCACGTTGGAAATCAGGTCTGGCCATAACGTTTTTAGGTACAAATTTAAGACCGCATCAGTTTGGTTTTGACCACGAGGTGTGATCGCATAGCGACAGGCGTCGTTTACGGCTACGACTGAGAAAATGACAATAACAATGCAGACAATGAGTAGAAGAAAAAAAAACACAGCTGAAGCTATCATACTAGCGATGAGGTACTTTGCCGAACAACGTGGAGGTGGATAGGTATTTGGGGCGTCGTTTTGTTGAGCGTCTTGATTGAATGCCTCTGAACTGAGAACAGTTCGAGTTCCTGCGAGAGCCAAAAGAAAAAGACCAAAAGGTTCCTCCAAGTACATCTGATGAACTTAATTAAAGTGAAATCAAGCAATGGTTTTGAGCATTTTATTGTTTCGAAATTGTTTAGCCTCCTCAACATCTTCCTAACAAATGGAATGACTAATTGTATGATCCATCACAGATTGAGTTAATCACATCCTGTCGGACGTGTTTTACTGTCAATTCAACTTTCCCATTTATTTAATGCAACGCGGTGATTGGATATTCAGAAATACAAGCATAGTTATACTTAAAACTCAATAATGAAGGCCAAATAAAAACACTGTATGAGATGCTCGTGAATAAGAATGACTTGAAGGGCAATACAAAACGTGTAGCACACTTGCAACGTGATAAGATTGAATAAGGCTGTGCTGGAAAACAATCCCAAGTTACTTGACAGATAACTCTCTGTACTCCTGATCATTTAAAATGCACACGAAAGAATTGAAACTTGATAGTACGTCGTATTAGAAACCTATCGGAATGGGGAGAACCATGTAAGAAAATGATTTAGTTTTTATTTTCTCGTCCCGGTGTAGGAGAGCACTCTACAATTTGCATTATGCCAATTTTCGGAGTAGTCTGAGATGAGTTACTGAGGTACGGTATGTCAGACTGAGTACCATTCGGCTTTTACCAAAAAAAGAAGAATTAACTCTTCGCATGTATGATAGGTAAGTGCTGAACAGAAATTAAGTTAGGACAGCACCTTCTGGTCAACCTTCTGTGATAAACGGTAGTGAACGTATAGGATCTTGATAATGTATAACCGGTTGTGAGTTGGTGAAGTGAGCTCAATCTGGAAAGGTTGAGCACAGCCAGAAGAGAGAGGTACTCAACAATACTAAACAATCAATAGTGTTGGAGACAACAATATGGTTTTGATTGAGCTATTAGGCTAGGTAAGATAGATATTTGTCGGGTGGAGCAATGGAAGTAAAGGGTTTCGGTTATGGATGTGGGTAAACTGATATGAGTGAAGTGAATCTCAAACGAGAGCCTCTCAAATAGCTCAGAAAATCTGCAATGCAGGCAATAAGACAAAGCTCTAAAAGTTTCCCAGGGTACTGTAGTGATCAAAACTACTACTGCAAACATTTTAAATAGAACACAATGTAGCGAACAAGGCTCGTTTTTAGTGATTTGACTTCTTGGACGAATGCATCAAAATTTATATAAATCCAACAAAATGCAGGACGGTGGAGATAGTGCTTACAAAAGACAGTAAGAAGAATCTAACTAAGAGCAAGTTTTGCTCGCTACATTGTGTTCTACCCCTGCAAAGTTGAAAGGCATTGCTTACAATTTTTGATTAATACGACACACAATGAAGGCACTACGACCCCTTTAAGGATATGAGGAAGAGTCAGTTGGTCGGATAACATATGAGCAACCAGCGAAGGATTATGATCACAATAGCGCATAGTCTGCCTTGGTAGATGATCATGGAAGAGTGAGAGAACGGTCAGAATGAAAAAACGGTGCACTTTGAGGGACTTGTGAAATCTCGTAACCTAATGAAGGGAAAGTAACTTAATTCAAACACTGTAATCACGGCTTTGAGTATCAAAGTGGTGACTTAAATTGATTAGAAGTGGTAGGAGAAAAGTTAAGCACTGTATGACCCGATCTCCCTTACTCAAAAGTTGACCAGGGAAGATTTTGAATCTGAGGAGACTAATTTCTCATTGCTTTCGTAAACCACAATGTGGTTAGAAGAAAGGGTTTCATAAGTCTGAAAATTGGCATCTATGATAAAAACAGATTTATTGACATAATCAACCAGGGTACTGGTTAAGTAGTCTAAACAGCCACTCTGAATTGCAGATAGGTTCAATCCTCATTTGGGATACTTGACGTGTATGATAATACTACCCTATCTGGTATGCAGAGTTGGACGATCGATGTGAAAACAGACAAAACGTTGAAGATGGATTACCTCCTTTCCAATTTTGTAATGAAGCTAGTCTTCATGGAACACTATGACACCCAGTTGAAAGTTAAACCACTTTACCACTCCTAACACAGATTTTACGGTTGATCATGCTGGGAGCATAGACCAGAGGTATCGCTGGTTCACGATGTTTTCGATAATCCCCGGAGTGTTTTCTGATCGTTCATTTTTTGATTAGCCTCTGATCCCAATCGATCAGGAGGGGGGGGGGCAGAAACTTCACTTTTATGTGAAGTTTCATGAACACACGGGATTACACATTGAATGAAATTATGTATCAATTTTTAGGCATAATAGTCGCTATGACAAACAAGTTAAAATTTGATGGAAACTGGAGGAGTGAACACGATTGGGTGGGCATGTAGCGAACTGATGGGTAGTGGGTAGGGTGGAACGGGAAAACTAATAGTACGGCGGCGACTTAAAGATGGTACCATGGAAATGTTTTGAACATGATGGTTGACTGTTCATCTACTTTTGTTTGCTCAAGACTGCTCCGCACAAGATTGTTTAATTCATCCGGCGGTGTAAATTCTCAAGGAAAATGTAACGAAAGATGAACGGTGTTGTTATAATTAAGTACTCATGTTCAGCCAAAATAGAAGACTATTTCAAGTCTATTTGGAACCCGGGTTTAAAACACTGTAAAATAAGGCTTTTGGGGATATGAAATAATGAAGAAAGTGAATAAATAAGAGGAATTTATAACAAACCAAAAGCGATAGAATAACGATAGATGGCCTAGATGGCATAGAAATGGTTCGATAACTGAAAATCAATTGCCGTAAGAGGTTCGAGAAGCTTCCAAAGGCCAATACACATATTCAAAGGATTCTCGTGAGGTATAAATTCCTGACAGATTTAAACGGGATGACATATTCCTTTCCCCAAACAGGGATAATCACCCCCTGCTAAAGTGTATGTAAATCTTATTTTAAAGAAGCAAAAATTTACTAAAATGAGCTATCGATTTTGAAAATTCATCCTTCAAAGCCGAGCAGAATACAGATGATGGCATGGAACTTGTTCGTCGATTAGAATTACCTTTAAAAAACGAACGCTCGAAGCATTCAGTCCCATAGAGCGCGATATAAACGGTCAGACTGGACAGAAGGAGCAAACAGAGGACCAACACGATATAGCCAATGGTGAATAGGATAATAAGACCAATGCTGGTTGTTTGTTTCACTTTCGTACTGGTCGTTGTTAGATCTTGAATAGTTGGCTGTAGCTTTTGGGCAAGGGTGATCCACAGCTTTTGTACTGGTTCAAATAATTCATTCACGTCGAACTTCTCGCTCAACTGAGAAGAGAAAGGATAGTGCAGGAAACTTTAAAAATCTTGTCGGTACTTGAATCCATCATTTGTGTTGCAGAGAACACGGTGTTATGATACAAGCTGAATAGAAAACTGTTCATCATTCTGCGAGACCGGATTAGCAGCCGAAGTTCAATAAAAGTAAACTAAATAATTGTGGTAATCTTCGGCGATCAGTCAATCTTCTTCCATGCCTCACCCGTAGACAATATGAAAGTAAGTGAATTCCAGAAACAGGGACAATGACGTGCTAATCGGTAGAATATACGCTTAAGAAATATAAAAAAAATTAATAGGGCTATTTGTGACAAAATAAACCGGATCGCTGAAAACTACCTTACTTTTGGTGTGAGACACTATTCACATTAATTTGAAAAAGGATGCGATTGGTGGTTTCCTTCAAATATTGAAAATAAATCAGACCTGTTGGAGCGAATTACTGTGTTCAGCATGGTAATTACAAGAATGCGAGTCTATTGGTGGACCGTTCCATCAACTGTCCTGTGCGCATGTGAAAATTCTGAATACGCGTTCCAAATGAGAGATTCTTTTGTTTGTATGGCATTTTATTAATAATAAAGAACTATCCTCGTCCAGGCACCGGCTTGCGGAGTTATAACACTTGTATTACTGATTCTAACTATTTATTATAACCCTCCGTTTAATGAAAGCTTAAGTTAAATATACATTCTTATTTCTTTTTGTCTATCGACGAAATGTGTATGTTTCTATGATGCCTTCAGTTTAACATTGGAGCAAAGCACTTGACAAACGACCTTTTTCAGTGCAAAATGTGTTTATTAAAAGATACTACTTAAAATTATGTGGGACACCTTTTCTAATTTTAATAATGAATATTGTTACTTTCAATAATGCTACTTCTCATGAGGGCGAGGTAGTCAGAGTTTGACTGTGAAATATATCTTGATATAAACTGATTAGGGGCTTCACTCCAAAGATAACTTATTGATCTTGTGTTACTTCAGTAAAAGGTTAGTAACCTCTCACCAGAAAAAGCATGACCCCGTTTGATATCAGTTCTTTTCTAAACAATAAATTTTGTAACCTCACCAAAAATCAACTGAACTAGACATTGGAAATTTGATGTGTCAACTAAGGGATGTTCAGCAGCTGAAAAAATTGTCACCCTATCCGTTTGTGGCAAGGGAGTATAGTGGCTTCAGATCGCCAGTGTAATATGTTCGAGATTTGTCATCTGCCTGTTCCACATGTATGCCTTCTCATGGTTGCAGGTATTATTTTCTGGGAGCATTCGCTCGTGCATACTTTTCCGTTTTAGCATGGAGTCGTCGATATCCTGATGCTGCTTCTTCAGCTAGGTTCTCCATCTTTGTTAAAGTCACTGCTACCTCCGCTGGATTAACTCCACTTTGAACTGTGCATGAGTTCAGTGCTACAACTTCACTTACTACGCCTTTCGCTTTCAGATACTCTCGAGAACAGTCATGCTAAACTTGCAGTGCTTGTAAGGGGACAACATATTTTCTCTTGACTAACTGGTTATTGTTCCTGTTATTTACCGGGTTGTCGAGAATCACAGAATATTAGAAACAGAACAGCCTCCACAGGTCTTCAGATAACATCCCTCTCTCCAAAGAATAAAAGCGTTGAAATGCGTTAAAACTACAAATTTAAATATACAATACAATATGCAATGCTGGTCAAAAATAGATAGCACACTGGATTATCTAACCGGCCTTTACTGTGCTCACAATGTTAATGGTTTAACGAGATGTAAACAAACTAACTAATTTTCGTAAGGTGTGCTCAGTTGACTTTCATTCACACTCATATTTTGATGGAAGGCGGTACAAGGAGAGTCCTATCTAGCGACCGAATTAAGAATGGGGCTCATCCGACCAGACGCGCAGACGCAGCGGCGGGAAGTGCCTCGCGAGACAATGTTGACTGCCACCCGAAACGAGAGAATCGACAACTACAGCCCGACAGACAATCCGCAGCTAACAGGAAAGATATCCACCGAATGCCACAACGTCAGAGCTGTCAATCAAGGCATCTCGCGCCGCGATCGGGTCAAACCGGTCGGAATGGCACTCGGAAGAAGAGGCAACGAACGCTCCAAGTGCGGACCAAAACCAACAAGGAATGGCCCACAGAAAGCGGCATGAATCATCCCGCCGCGCGGTCGAGAACTGATTGTATATAATGGAACGCACACACCATTTGCTTTTGAATTGGATCAATAAACATTTTTTCCAGCCAGCTCGCCTTCTCGCGGCAATATGAGCTGATCCCCGTGCACTTATAACAAGAATTCGATATTCAAAGTGTGTCTTCGGTTCAGAATAAATAGGGCAGAACAGTACTTTATTCATTAAGTTATCGGTTTATGGGAGCCGGGAACTTTGCTGTTTAGATATGGAAAGTATTCAAATTCGAGCTCTACGACGTCCAAATGAATTAAAAAGCCATATACTGAACGATTACTTCGCAACTGATCACCTGCCTTCACCAAAAGGCTGCAACGAAGAAGTATTAGAAGTCTTTGGGGTACTACACACGTGTTTGTGGTGAACAACAGATGAGGTGGATCCCGTAGTCATGAAGACCCACAGTTAAGTATTGCAAAACGGGAACCTAAACCTCGGGACTTTGAGTGGTGAACCATGTGAGACCTCGATCGGTTAAACGTGGTGTTGGACCAAATGATAAAAAGCTGCCTACCATGAAGATTGGATGGCATTAGCTCAGTTTGGACCATAGGATTCAAAGCACACCGGTGAATAATAAATCACTAGCTCATTCAGTATTCTATCACCTTTAACACATGAACGTGTTTTTCTGGATTCGGAATTTGTGCTGAAACAAATGCTGAATTGCTAGTTTGTGAATTTTCAGCGGCTCATAAATTACGTTTAGGCAATCAACTTCCTCCGAAAGGAACGCGTCATTGGGTTCACAATAGTGTAATGTTGCATGGAGTGATGAGGCAAGATTTCAATCACAAATTATTGATGAAAGAATGAGAGTTTGAAGGTGAATAGGACAAAAGCATCCTCAGAAGAGCCAGTGTTTTGACAAGGGTTCGCGTACGGTATGTTTATCCATATTTTCTGGTGAGAATAGTGATGGTTAGTGTGAAATATCTAAAAATATCAAAAACGCAGGTGAAGCAACTGGTAAGATAGAGACCACAGTGTATGCTACAGAGCAACAACGCCCCCAGAAACGCCAGTTTTAAGAGGTTCAATCATTTAAACAAAATCATGGCATTCTTTAAATATCATGACCTATTAAGCTCACAGATGTGAATCCCATCAGCCAATAATGGGATAATGTGAGCAGAAAACTGTTACAATCCTTAATACCAGAAAATCTGAGGGCGCGGGGAATGCTGGAAAAAAATTTCTCACTGTTGTATAGATATCATTCTTTGATGGTGGTAGGCCACTCGGGATGTGCACCATTGTGGCACGTCAAAATTTAGCAATAGTTAGTAAACTAGTAAGGACGACTCAACTGTCTGATGTTGGTCTCCACATTAGAAGTTGTGTTTTCGTTAAACGTTCTTCCGTTTCGATCGCATGTTAATAGACATGTTTCGTTTGATATTTTTTAAGTTGTGACTTTGATCGCATATGATTGTATGGATTTGTGCGCTGAAGTGAGCTTCTCATTTACTTTTGGTCACCAATGGGATTTGGTGATTTGGCTCCCAAATGAATTATGGCAGAACAGTCACAATCCTCCATGAGCGCTTTCCGGTGGTTTCAAATGTTTTGTAATGTGAACATAATTCTAAGCACGGTTGTGATTAGAACAAATGTCATTGTAAAAATGCGACTTCTTTGACACGGAAGAGATAGACATTAGCAAATTAAAACTTCTCAGTCATTCCGCGCTTGTTGTCTAAGTCACGTTAAACGCTTTGCGATCAGCGTTTGAGTGGCCCACGTTTCGGGAGTGACAGTGTACAAGTTTTCCTAGCCGATTAGAGTCTAGTAAAAACTGAATTTGGTATTCAGTGTGCAAACTCCTGAAGGCAGGGAAGATGTGAGTGGTCTACGGTATTTGTTTGCACAGTACAAATAATCCCAATATACGTGCACGCACTCAACTGAAATACGCGGTATTTCAGGTTCAGCAATCTGTTTGTTTTGTCGGAACTGAACTGGGAAACGCTTCCGTGAGTCCCAAGGTAGACAGCCAACAATTGGTGTGCGTGACCACATCAATGAAATGAGATCATAATAATTTGGTATGATCCTTGAGTACTCCCAAATACCGAATTTTTCACCGCATGTGCTATGTTATTTGTCAGTTTATGAGGAGAAACAACAACCCACTCCTGTGGAGGGAAACAAACCTACAGGAGAGAACCATCAGTACGTCCAAGATCGATCGCTTCGTTTGTCTTTTGGCCCTGTTTTGCTGGTTCATAGATGTTGCGGGTTTTTATTCCTGCTGTATTGGGCATAATAGAAACACCACAGGGTTCATTATCTGTCTTCCATTAATTCCGGAATACACTTTTCAGGACCACAGCATCATCTGAAGCCATAAAATGCCACTAATACATGGAAGGTTCCCGTAAGAATATCGAAAGACAAACAATATAACGAGGAGACTAGATTTCGTAACTTTGTCTTCTCTCATGACCTCAATCACGTCGTAATGACTCAACATGACGTGACACATTGTATGTGAAGAACCGTCATTGGGAATTTCCAGAATCGACCTTGATGCAGATCTCTCTTTCTCCATGTGACCCCCATAGAACTTGACAGATATTGTTGTCCTTTCCCTTTTCACGGTTATCTGCGTAGCAACAAGGGACCTGGTGCTTACCCAGATAACCCGAACGAGAAAGCCCATCGTGTCTACAGTCGCCAAACTTTAACAGGCCCAGGGAACTTCGAGTGTGCAGCAGGAGTGACATGAACACATGGATGGATTGGATCTGACAACAAGAACATTACAAAAAGTACAACCCGGTAATCAGAGAGTTTCGTTTTTGAGTGAGGGAATCCAAGTGCTGCAAACCGCGGAAAATGATCCAATCAGATCGCAGAGAGGATCAGAGGGAATTTACTTGTTTAAGTTCACAGATTAGAAGACAATGTGAAATGATGGAGCAATCGCAATATATCAACATAAATAACTGTAAATGTACAAAGACGAAGCCACGAAAACACCAATAACGTGTGGCTGTATACGGTCACTCGTCAACTGTTTTAGCCGAAATAAAAACTCACGCGTTCCTGAATAACTTGCGACTTCTTATTCAGTTCCGTTTGTAGTTGATTCAAGTCATTGACAATCGCTGTCATGTTAATTCCAAATATAGTTGTCAACTCAGAAAGCACAACACTGGGTTCAGTGAGAATGGCGCTCGAGTTGAACTTGACATCCAAAACGGAGATCTGATTCTGTGGAACGAAAACAAATGGAGGTTCCGTGCGACTGAAAATCACCATGCATATGTTTTATTGTTTGCATTCAGTACAAAACCAAGTAGCTGTCCTAAAGGTAGAACAGAAACAGAAATTAAAATATAACTGACGTGCTTGTTTAGCAAATATTTATTTTTCAAACGAATTAAATGAAAATAACGAAATGTCAAGTTCGCATTTCCGACCGTAGAACCAAATATTTCTTGAATCGGGAGCGGTGTAAACACGTTTCCTCGTTTGAGTGCTGTGGAGTGTAAAGCGGATTGAATCACATTTCGTTCTCAACTAATCCGTTTTCTAAGGCTTGCGAGTATTTCTCAGTACCAAAACAACTATAAATGTTGATTACACAAAAGAAAACGTTCCAATTCGACAGTTTTTGGTTGGCAAGTCGTTTAATTTTAGATACAACGAGAACTTCGCTCCATAAATTATTGGTTTTTTTTACAAGCTCAATAAATTAGTTTTTACATGTTATTCCACTGAAATCTTTATTGTTAACGTGTGAATTGGGAAATGAGAGGCAGTGATAAATTGATTTGTTGTTGCATGTACACGACAGCATTCAATAATTAATTTCCTTTGTTTTCTGAAACCGAAACTCGAGCACTTACATGAGGAATCAAAACCCCTAAAGAGGAAATACACTGCTTGGTTGCCGTTTGGCTGGAATAAAAAATATACCCGATCCTAATGAGTCCCCAAAAGAACGAAACTGCTGTTCAATGCTTTAGGTTTTTCTCCTTGAAAATCCTTTAATTAAAGCCTCCGGCAATCAATTCACAATTCTGTGAGGAATAAAATCCTTACCACTCAAAAACGTGTCATTCATGTGTAGTCCTTGATGCCTGTGAAATCAGATGAAGTTGGTCCACAGAATAAGTTTGAACCAATGAATCGATGTTTTCATTTACAATGGGTCTATCATTCCTTCCTCTCCCCAGGGCAATCTAATTGACTCAAAAGTTGTACTGAACTAATGGAATACGAACACAGCAGGAAAACACACTCTAAAACTTTGGGTATGCTAACAAATACTTCAATATGTCCACTGTCGGATGATCATTTTATGTTCTTTTCGATGCAATCTGATGATAATCAGTAAGCTGTTACTTATTGTGAAAAATTGACAACGCATCGATCACAAATTGTACGCAATTTTCTTCACAGATAGTTCCCTTAATAATCAGTGATAATGACTGGCTGGACCGCGTAGCATATGTCATTATTTCTTCCCAAATAGCCGTGGGACTCTCAATAAGAACAAATGAGGGCACTCCCTAGACAGAACCCGGATAAAAACGGAGAGGCTGTGACATACCAGGAATACTCCCCACTTGATGTTCATTTTAGATCAATACACACGATAGGTGCTCGGTGATGCGTCCCAAGTCAAGTTGGTTGATAAGCACGCAGTGAATGAAGCAATACGTTTGTTGTAGACGACACATATGTGGCCAGCCCATAGAAGGATGAGCAAGCAATAATGGTCGATACACAGGAAGGAAGGCAGACCAAAAACTGGCTCAAGCGTTACACAACATCCGTATGCGGTCAAGCAATCATTCAAACAGGCATCGAATCAATCAGCGAGGACAGATCAACGCACATATCCGATTGGCCGCAACCGATCGATATTGTAATGGAGTCAGTCGACATGAAGTGAGTGTGTGGGTGCGTGTACTAGCTAGCATCATCTGCCCATCCATCGATCAATCAAGCAATCCGGCCACAGGCAGCATGAAAAACGTATCAGTCAATTGTAGGTTACAGCACTCGGACTTCTCCAAAGCGCTTGATCAGGTGAACCATGAAATACTGTTCGGTAAACTGTACGATTTTGGTATCAGTGACCTCGCGCTTGATTGGATTGCTGCGTTTCTCCAACAACGGACCATGTCGGTTTGAGTCTCTGATTCACTGTACGCTCCTATCGCCGTTTCCCGCGGAGTCCCTCAGGGTTCTGTTCTTGGTCCTCGACTTTTTGTCTCGCTTATAAACGACGTACCGAATGTCCTAGGACGCTACAATAACCGGTTTCCCTATTTGCTTGGACAAGAACTAATGCAGCATGCATCAACAGAAAAGGACTTGGATGTTATAAAACCACGAAGACTCGAGCTGTTCTATTAACTGTACCAGGGCGTCATCAACAGCACTCAAACATGTTGGTCAACTTAAACGTGGTTTTGTCGTTTTGAAACATCTTTATTCCCACACATGCAGTCGGCATTCATCCTGCCGCATATTGAGTATGCCCTCCAAACTTAAAATCCATGGCAAGATTTTGGAGCGTCCACAAAGTCTCGCTATGAAAATAGTCACAGGACTCTATTATGATTCATACATGGGGATACTGCAGTCATTGGGTCTATACTCTGCTCAGTACCGTCGGATTCGAGGAGACTTAATTTTAGTGTACCAAATATAGCAGAAACCACACCACCCTCGTCGCTAACTTTTGCCATTATAATCAAACGTTCATCTACGGAGACATCCATTCAAGTTACTACTCCAAAAATCTCGACTTGACTGTCGACGTCATTGCTTCGCCGTCAGAGTGTGCACTGTCTTCCTTACCATCTCATGTCGTTTATAGCAAGACTATTGATTCTTTCAAGGCGAAACTTGACTAATCATTAACAAACATTCCATTCCATCATCTATGAGCACACATAGAAAAACCGAATACAGCATATGGAATTATATTGATTGACCATTGTTACAGTTCAATTAGTGTAAACACCCTATGGGACAAGAAAAGCATTTGCTTGTAAGTAACGCCCATAATAAAAGGCTGACTTTGAATCGTTTTTGACTGTAAGGCATGGAATATAAACGAAGCAGAAGCATTTCACACAATACAATTAACACGGAATTAAAATGCAGAGCTGTGAATCCAAATTGTACTCATTGTTCATTCTGATTAGTGGTGCACATTCCTTTCTCGTCGAGACGGAAAGCACCGAGAGACACCACTTGCAAACGTGATAAATCCTTTTCCCTTTATTCATTTAATCAATACAAGAAGGTATATGTGGGCCTAATGGATATTGGCTGTCAGTTACTCGCTTGCTTTGGTTCAGCTGCGAAAGCATATTTATGTGATCGTGCCAAACGCAGAGGTATGGGAGTTGCACTGAGTCATTTCAACAAGGTGGCGGAGAAGTGAGCTCGATGGTTTGGGTTCGATTAGGGGTTACAGTTCGGTTAGAACATTTGCTATAAAAATGAACTGGGTTATATAAATTGGTCAGTGTCACGGATAGAAGATCATAGAACGCATTAGGCAGGGTATTATCAAGCGTGATGCCATCATTATCACAGCAGTAACAATTACGACAAAAATGTTTTTTAATATTTTATTTTGTTTCCAGAGACGAACCTCTAATTGCTTCCAAATCCTTTAATTTCGAAGTCTCGTAATGACTGGAAATGCTTTGGGTGCGTTTACGTGGTGACCAATAACAATTCTGTCTACATAAGTCTTGTGTGTTATTAGCACTGAATAAAGAAAATTTGTGTTTCAGTTTCATCTCCGCACTATGTGGCGGGGGAGGGGGTATTTAAAACGGATTTGTGCAAAAATACCCCTCTTCACACGGCAAATCTTTCACACACCTATCCCCTGTACGTTTCCACCGTGTCTTCGTTTTTGAGAGCAACACACCAACCGCATTTCGATAATACTGTTACATTGGTCCGGTTAAAATAGAAAATTCCAACAATTTAGGCTTTACTGAAAACCGTAAAATAACACTATGCTAATGGCATCACTCCGGTTGAGATTCTGTTCAACTTAATCAGGTGGACATAATACATAGTGGTCATTCTACTTGAGAACTATGTTTTGGACATATCCATTACCTCTCCTTCTAAATTTTAATACTGCGATGTAATGTTTGGGTCAATATGTCCTAACTGGTATTCATGACTTCGAGATCTGGGCCACACAGAATAGCCACTTCACTCGAACCGCAAGCCAGTACTGTTCACATACAATCAGCAAACGCCTGCCACCAATCCTTAGGCGAGGCCACCACTACTTTAAATGAAATCATTCTGTTGGTGTTTCAGTTGGTTGGTCCGTTATAATGAGTTGTCTTTCATCAAGGGAGTACACGCGATTCTTTCTGTCCGTCCATGTAACGTGAGATTCAGTCCTCAAGAAGCGAGCTTCCCAGAAACGCCATGTGAGCGCTATTTCTACTTGCATTACCTATTTCTACTAAACAACTTTTTCGACAGTGTTTGACTAGTTTGTACAATACAGTATGATGCATAGGATAATATAGTATGGTATACTGTTGCATATTATGTATGTGTAATGAATACTGAACTTGGAGGTAACTACGCAAATCACAAAAATAATTCAAACCAGGAATATAGTGAATATGTAGTTGTGGAATACGGTGTGACGTCACCGTAGCCAAGGGGCGTGAATCACATTGTAAATAAGACGAGTCATTTTATCCTTGGAACGGGGATTTTGAAAGCATGCACTAAACGCAATTTTTGCCATTTTCAAAGAACGCATTTATTATCTCGCTGACCGATAATGAAATAAGTTCTCTCATGTAACATTTTGTGAGAAGCACCACTGTCGTAAAAGCACATCTGAATAACTACTTTAAGAACACATAAATATCCCTTATAATGATGTGACCTCATTCTTGGAGTGAACAAAATGTAACCGAGTAATCACTGGTTAGATTGACCCCATGGTAAGTGAATTCGTTCGCGAACACTACAGAACAGAGCAAACATTTGATGGAATCTTATTTCTGATGGACAAAGAGGGCATCACTGTGGTTGCATGCACAGGCCAGTAACAGTGGAGAGAAATAAACTAGATAATTAAAAGTCGAAGACGACATTATCATCGTGCTGCAAACTACAGTAAACTGAGTTTCACTATTCACTTGCAAACTCACAATGAATACGAATTTTGTATGTCGATTGTGATAAGTTCAGTAGCCTTGGTGGGATTCGATTCCATGCGCGTACAAAGCGTAGGCGGCGTCCATGGGTGGGTTTAAACCCTACCAAGGCTACTGAACTTTTCACAATCGACATACAAACTTCAAAGCTGCCAAACAACAATTTGAATACACATTTATTGGTAACACTGAAGGCGGATATGAATGGGGCCTACCTTGAGGAGGAAAGAAAGTATACATGTATAGGCAACACAGAATACATGCTCTAATTGTGTATACATACCTTTTCAAGCATACTGTCTTGATGAGAAATGACAACAAGAACGCCACTGCTGTCGGTTCACTGACAAATCCTTCAATGTCTTTAACCAGCCAGTTGCAGAGTCCGGGCATTTCTTCATGATACGTCTCAAGGTCATCTGTTGACCTCCACGTGGTTTTCTCAACCCCGGAGCGGCTACAGCAAATAAACCACAGAAAGCAATACATGCCCTAACTAGCGAAACCATCCGATCCTAATTCGATACCCGAGCAAATTATCCCCGACAAACTCCCAAACAAACGATCGCCTACCTCCAGATTACTAACCCGTTTACTACGTCCCACATGAGCCAAACTTCCTAACCACCTATTGTTGAAGTACTCTAGTTAATGGAAGCCTACTCGTAAATTCAAGGTCTCACATTCGTAAATCAGAACTGAACAAACGATAGCAGAAGATACACAACCTTCTGGGTAGGCTGCTTAAGTCGTGTAAATTTGGTTGGTCTTCTGCTTTGCTGCACTACAATCATTGAAGGTGCAAAGCACATACGGCACGTGAGAACAGCATTTACTTGTCTAACGAGTGCGCTTTGTACGTCCTCAATACATTCGAACTATGTCATCGGGGTATGCGATCGACATGATCTGCTGCCCATTTAATATTTACGTTTTGGAGACCACTCAGTGCGTTCTGCGATATTTCCTTCAAGACGAAATAGGGCACCATTGAATGCTGATGTTGTTGACGACCGGCCTATTTAGCTCGTTACAGACCGTCACCCGACTGGGGGAACGTAAGTAAATCATTGATTGTGGTCAAAGTTATCACATGTTGGTTGGCACAATCCTTTCGAGATACCGTCTTCAAAATAGGAACATTCAGTGAATCACCGCCAAGATAAAGGAATGCACTCCTGAGACCAAATGTTGTCGAGTAAACTAGTAATAGAGGTGACGACGCTATCAATTCCCATTTTGAAAATAGTGGGAGGAACGCCATCCAAACTTTCTTTTCCTCTCTTCAGAGCTTAATTACAAGATCGAACTTCATCTGCCGGAGGATCACACGACAGTTTAGTTGCAGACGAGGTGATCTGATTTTCTCCACACCAGCTGAACTGTTCGCTGGAGTACTTCGCTCCGCGATTAAGCCGTTGTTCTTCATTGTGAACTGTTTGCGCCCATGTGTCGCAAAACTTTTCATTATTGGGGATTCATCGTGTTTGTGTCAGCTGGAACAGTCTTTGACTATTCACCAAAGGAGCCTCTTCTTCCAGGTCGACCAGGTCCCACGATTCTTCTCGAGGCACTTCTAGAGCTGAACTGGCAGACGCTATCTAATCCTGTTTTGATCGTAGTAGGTCGAGATTTGTCTATTTTTGTCCATCGGGGATAGTGACTCATTATATATCTAATGCTTCCGATGGTTTAAATGATCGGACCCACATGCAACATTCGCGAGAGAATGCATTACGCGGCTAATCTGATCCCACTGCTCGTTTAAAACATCACGTTGAAGCACGCTTGGCTCACGCACTAGCCCGGGCTCATGGCCTGCCAGAACAGTTGGGACAAACAGACGATAATGAGCTAACCGCATTTACAGGTTTTGTCTCCGGTCGGTGAGTCAGAGAGTGACGTGCATCAAAACTAATGCGTGGTAATAATCGACACAGGTGGTTCTATACAACCTGCAGTTTTGTACTTAGCTACGTCAACGGAGCACCATGTTGCCGTCCGTGGACAGCTGTGACGGAAGTGGGTGGTTTCTTCTGACAAAGCAGACCAGAGGCAAACTCAATCGTTAAAGTGAGACAGTATCAGTTTTCTACCGGCAACATACCAGATGCTGAATGATAGTGCTCATGTGCTACTACCACAGATAACAAGGATTTGATAAAGATCACCAGCTTCTGGAAGATCATCCCGTCTTCCCTGGGTAAAAGCAAACCATTATGGTAATAATACTGTAAAATATGCAATCGGATGTAATGAGTAGAAACAGAGTGAACGAACTCACTCGTAGAGATAAGCATTTGAGATGATCGAGTGAGTTGGTCAGAGTCAGACACAAGGAGTCAAAAGCATCTCGCAACGCGTTCTGATAACCTTTCATTGCTCCTTGGAAGGCGTTCACATCTGCCAGAACAATGGCAGATTTATCATTGATGAAGTAAGTGGTTTCTTGCAAAGTGCTCACATTTTGTATCAAATGCTTCGCATTGTCAATCAGTGTCTGAACTCCGTAGCTAACGAGTAAATGATCGAGTATCTCTTGGACAAGATTTATCAGATTTTTCTTTCATAAAGAAGAAATTCCGGGAATGGGAGAGGGGGCAAGAGATATACGGTTTACAGAAATGTCAATCATTACGAGATAACCGTTGGACAAAAAAAAATCAATCAGTGAAAATACACTCCGGAATTTCAAAATAATAATGAATGTTGAATACAGATGGAACTCACTCACATTCACAGTCTTCTGTTTTCACCGTATAGAAACAGTCATACAGTCTCCGTATCTCCTTCACTAGCAGCTAACCAGATTGATTATTGTCTTTTCCGGTTTTCGACTTCAAACAGAAACCGGATACTCTAACAACCTTCCATCTTTGGTTGTTTAGGATATGCGGTGTACCAACCTCGTGCCCTATTTATTTAAACTGTGAGTCATTGACTGGAGAAAGATGGATCACTAAAACCAAGTCCCTATGTTTACGTTATTTCAAAAATAAATGATTACATTCCAATTGGTCAAACTGTAAAAGGAGCACTGTTGTTAATCTTATAAAACAATCACCCAGGAACGTAAATTACCTCATAGGTGTTCAATAAACTCCTGAAGTGTACTACCCTAAAGGATTTACACAAATAAATTTTGCATCGGGTATGCACATATCACCCCATGCCGTGGAATAATCTTGGCAGAATCACACAAATGAACTTAATAACTACACATTTCCGCAAAGTTGATAACCTCGCGAATTCTAACGCGCACGGGGATGCAGGTCCTACATGCATGGGATCATGTAGTTGGTTTCACGCTGATATCCCGTAAACTAGCGTTGTTCCGCTTTGCGACCATAATGAGTCAGACAAGTGTGTTTGGGTAACATGTTAGCAGTGGACAAATAAAGTTCCGTCTCGAAAATCAGTCCATTATTACTCAAAGAAACAAATAGGTTATATGATGAATTCGCAGCATAAATGAGGCGTGAGCTGAAAATCTGAGAAGCACTGGACAGCTGTTTCGAATTGGTTGGGTCTTATCAACAGCAGTGCTCAAATCCATCGACCTTCTTTACACGACAAATTCGTCATATAACCAAATCAAATTCTCCGTTACTCTTATGAAGCACACATATTATTCGTGCAGATTTCGAACGCATTTTTCAACCGCAGGCAGAAAACAATATTTCCAAAATCGATACCAGGATTGAACATGAAAAATCATAGTTAATCACCTCCAAAACTTTAACCACTTCGTTCACCGTTTGATTTGTCGCATTTTGGCCGATCGGGACAACGTCTTCCAGAAATAAACGAACCTCATCCACAATAAATCCCAATGATTCACTCAGACTACTGCTGTTTTTGCTCCCGTTGCTGACAGTCCCGGTATTGTTTTTCACCCGGTTACTGATCGCGGATCCCCCCGGTGAGGCAAGTGCTCCAAGAGCATAGAATGCGAATGTACAGATAGAAAATAGCACCATGAGGAGCAGGGCGCATGTAATTCCCAGGCTCAAGTAGGCTGCGCCCGAATTGGTTTGACAGCATCGATTTCGACGAAATGGCAGTGCTAATCGATCCAGGTCATGCTTCAAAAAAATAATGAACGGAAAAGCGGAGCA